TTGTTCTTGTGAATGCTTCATAAGTTTTGTTGAAAACTAGACATTTTAAATTTTATAACTCTGGACATCAGATTTTCCTCTCCTCAAATTTTATTCTTATTTCTTGCTGTGAGTATTGATTGTTTAGTGATTTTCCTAAACTATTATTTTATAAAATAGATTTTATTTTAAGAGCAGTTTTATGTTCTCAGCAAAGCTGTGCAGATAGTACGGAGAATTCCCATATACCCCTTTTTCCCACTTGCACAACCTCCCCTACTATCAACATTGTGCACCAGAGTGATATCTTTTTTATGAATTATGAACCTATATTGACAGCATTATCACCCAAAGTCCATAGTTTACATAAGGTTTCCTCTTGGTGTTGTACATTCTGTGGGTTTTAACTAATGTATGATGACATGCATCCACAATGATGCTATCATACAGAATAGTTTCACTGCCCTAAAAATCCTCTCTGCTCCACTTATGCATCCCTTCCTGCCCCCTAAAAATCCTGGAAGCTTCTGATTTTTATGTTTCCATAGTTTTCCTTTTTTACCATGTTGTATAGTTGGAATTATACAGTTTGGAGTGTTTTTGGATTGGCTTATTTCACTTAGTAGTAAGGATTTAAGATTCCTATATGTCTTTTCATGGATTGATAGCTCATTTGTTTTTAGTGCAGAATAATCCATTGTCTTGTGCCACAGGTTGTTTATCTATTTACCTACTGAAAGGCAGCATGCTTCCTTCCAAGTTTCAGCAATTACAAATAAAGATGCTATAAACATCTGTGTGCAGGTTTTTTTATGTCTATAAGTTTTCAATTCATTTGGGTAAACACCAAGTAGTAAGTGTATGTTTAATTACTAAAAAAATCCCTCAAAACTTGGCCCCATCCCCAGAATTTTTAACTCTCAAGCTTGTCCATGCTGAGCCTGCAGCGATTCATCATTTACACTTTAGGTTTTTGTACCCCAGTACTGTGGAGGTTTGTGCTCACAGATTTCTGCTCCAGTAATTTGTGATCTTCTGTCTTGCCTGTCTCTCTAATTTTGGAGGCCATGGTTTTTGCTCTGTGACTTTAGTACTGTGATAGATTTAAGAAGATTTGTTGATTTTTAATTTGTTCAGCTTTTTACTTGTTGTTAGGACAATGTGGTGGATCTAGTCTCCTTACATGCCAAATTGGAAAATAGAAATCTAAACTATTTATTTTTCAAGTCTGTAGTTTTTGTTGTGTTTCATCTCTCAGGTTTCTGTTCTATAGATGTGGTCAACTAGTGGGTTTGACAAGAGATTTCCTTAAGTGCCTGGAGCCACAAAAACATAAAGAAAAGGAGAAAAAAAATATTCTCCTGGCATTTGAAGACTGGCTCTGTTTTGAGGCACTTCTTTAAAACTTAGCCAGGCTGTTTACAGAACTGCCTTAGCCTTAATTTTCTACTTGTGTGGAGCTAAAGATGAGGCAGAGGTGAAAGTTTAGTGTCTACTACGATATTTTCTGAGCATGAGTCCTGCCCTGGGCAAGTGTGTAGCTTACTAGATTCCCCCTAATATATGGGAATTTCAAAATCCTTATTTTTCCAAAATAACTCTCTCCAGTTTTTACTTCTAGGCTTTGACATGTATATCGTTTGCCTCAGCTATAATCATTTTCTCCAGGGAGCAGTGGCTTGTTTAACTACCTTTCAGTTTTTTTGAGGAATACTCTCCACTTCGCTGGTTTTCTGCCCTGAGAGAGTTCTGAGATGAAACAAAGGGTAAAAGCTACAAGTCCTTCAAGCAACCTCTAGACAGGACAAAATAGAAAAACACAATTCCTCTTTTTTCCTCCAGAACTGTAATATATACCCACACCAGGAATGGAGGCTGCAGTCTTTAAGACTGCCAGTGCTCTGGGGAAGTGGGTGGGGCAAGGCTAAGTTTAAATGCCGCAAAGGTCTCCTAGCATGTTTAACCTGCATTTTTCTTGATCCATCACTATTTGGCTCCTGTAAAGCCTTCACTGTTTCCCAGAGTTTTCACAAAGTTGATTGTAACAGTTTTTGCTCACTTTTTCTTCAGTGTTTTCTGTGAAGGATAGGCCCTTGGAACTCCCTACAGCCATTTTTGCTGTCATCACTCCCTAATTCCCCAAATAGGTTTACCTTTCTGGTGGAAATTTGCAACTGACTGTGAATTTTATATAGAAGTTAAATGGACCAAGAATAACCAAGTGAGTTCTGAAGACAAAGAACAGGTGAGAGTACTTGCCCTAGCAGGTATCAAGACTTGTTAGAAAGCTATATTAATTATGGTTGTGTGCTTTTGGTGCAAGGTTAGATAGACCAATGGAATTGAATAAAGGCTCAGAAATAGACCCTTTTATATATGGAAAATTTTATTAATGATAGAGAAGTAGTAGCATAATAAATGGCCCTGGAACAGTGGTTATTTATAAGATAAAAAAAGTTTATTCTTTATAGTATATACAAAAATCATTTTCTGATGGACTAAAGACCTAATAAAAAATCAAAAGCAATAACATATTTAGAAACAGATATAGGAGGCTGTCGTTATGACCTGGAGCAAGGAACAATTACAGAAGAATATATAAGTCATAAAGGGAAAGATTGCTAAATTCAACTATATTAAAACCTCTATTGTGTAAAAAATTCATAAAGAGAAGTGCAGGAGAAGTTTCAAATAGCGGAAAATACTTAGATCACATATATCAGACAGAGGAAATCCAGAGTATATAGATAACATTTACCTGTCAGTAAGTATAAGGTAAATCAATACAAGATGCTCAAAGGAGATAAAAAAGGTGTTTGCAAAGGAGGAAATACAAGTAGCCCATAAAAATATCAAGATTTATTCTACCCCTTTAGTAATTTTTAGTATCCAGGGAATGTGATTATGGATGTTAACATCATAAAAAAGTAAAATGTTGACTTTTAAACAAGGTTTTATAAAATTCTTCCATTGAGTGCATATTTCCTTCCAGTACTGCCCAACATTGCTCTACCTTTTCCCACACAGTACTCTTCAAAAATATTCTTATACTTACTTCATATTTCTCCCATTTATCTGTACTTCAGTTTGCCTTCTGCCCCCAATGTCCACTGAACTAGCCATCTGAAGATAGTAATGACTCCCATAGTGTTAAATCAAGTGTGCATCTTTCTTGACACCTCAGCAGATTTGACATTGTTGACCATTTTGTTCTTGAAGTGCCTTTCCCTTGGCTTCTGTGACACCCTGTGTCTATCTGGTATGTCAGTTTCATATTACTATTATTTTCCTTTTTTTTAAAAAACACTATGCTATCTATCTTCTCTTTAGGAAGCTTTTTATAACAGCTACGTTAAATGCCAGCCCCATTAACAATTTTGTAGAGTAGGGTATTTCCTTGTTACTTTGCTTATAGCTTTTTCTTGTGTTCACTTTTCTGAGATTAACTTATTGTTTTGCTAGGTTAGAATGTGTGGTAAAATAGTTTCTAAATCTCTGAATTCTTGAAAATAGTTGCATTTTGGCTTCACATTTAAATGATAATATCTTCAAAATTAGAATGGAGGTTTAATATTTCCCCCAAGAACTTTATAGACGTTGCTCCGTAGTATCATATAATTTTTCTTCTGTTTAGTGTTATGTGTCTAATGTTGGTTTTCCTCACTTCTGGGCAATTTTCATATTCCACTTATTTTTATCAATAATGTCCTACATTCAGCAGTACCAGTAATAATTGATGATGTGTTATTGATGGTTCAGTATTTAAGAAAGCCACTGTTCTCTAGGCTTTAAGTGGTTTAAGTAATTGTAGAACCCTGACTGCAATGAGTGGATGAATTGATACATACAAGGGATTCCCATTACGTTCCCAGACAGGAAAGGAGATTTTGAGAACCTTGGAATCTCTCCAGATAGTGGAAAGAATGACTTTATTGCAAGGTAGTATGCCTTATTGGCATAAATCCTTATACAGCTGAAAATATTTTCCTTCAGATGTGGACATTAATTTGCTGTGGTATGTTTTCTTGAGGGTCTCAGCCCTTTTTGCTTAGACCTATGCTTTCTTATTACTTAGTGCAGTGATTCTTAAACTTTAGCATGCAAAGGAATCAACTGGAGGGATAGATAGTTTAAATACAAATTACTGGTCCTACTTCCAGAGCTTTGGAGTCAGTAGGCTGGGGTGGGGCCTAGTAATCTGCATTACAAACAAATATGGTTGTTTAGGTGATGCTGATGCTTTTGGTTGTGGTGTCACAGTTTTTGAACTGTTGATCTAGAGTTGGTGTAAAAGAAGAGAAATTTAGACTAGCCTGATTTTTTTCAGTTAAGCAACTTTTCTTCTGCCTGAATGCATGTAATACAATTTTTCTTTAATAATGTAATTCGAAACTTTTATTTGGTTGTAATAGAGTGGGTCTGGTTGTTTTTTGTGGCAAATGTAATCAGGTTAGCATTACATTTAGTAAATGGTAAATATTGGTAGTTCGGACCGTGTGATAGGTTTTGTATATTCATTTTCTCTCATAATCTCCCAAACCAGTTCTTTGCATTTTCCATTTAAAAAATCAAGTAGTAGTGTAATATTTTATATCTTGATTCTTAGACCTTTTAGCATAGCAAAGTTATATTGAAGAAATAGTGTTCATAAGATAATGCTTTTCATTATTGTACTCTCAGCTCTATGAAAAAAATAAGGCTCTTCTCAGAACTTAAATTTTATTTCTTACCTATATTAAGAAAATACATGAAATCATATATGTGAATTATTTTGGGTTTTTTTAATGTAGATCTGTAACAATGGAAGATTCTTTTTCTTTTCTAGAACTAAGATGTCTATGCAAGATGTACTAAAAACTGTAAATATAAAAATATTGTGACTGGATTATAGATTTATAGTTATATTTTAGAAACTTGTGTATTTTGGTGATTGAAAATTTCAAGAGACTTGAATTAAATATTATATCATACATTGTGAGGAGTTTTATTTTTAAATGTTTTCATTAAAACTTTATTTTCAGATTTTGGAATCTCTTTTTAAGGTATGTTCAATATATTGCCTACTAAAATTTAATACAGAAATACATATAAGTGAAAAAGAGTTTTCTAAGTTTTGAGGAAGTAAAAATAACTCCCAAACTTGCTGCTATATATATTTAAAAATTTTACGTTTCAGTTACATGTTGCCTTAGCCCCATTCTGAACCCTAAGATAAAATGATGTTTGGTGTAGGACTAATATTTGATACACACACACACTCACACACACACATACACATACTCATTTATTTCACTGCAGAAATTGACTTGTCAATATTGTTTCCTTTCTGTTCCTTCTTTTATTTAAAGTGGTTTCAGCGACAGGTCAATCAGATGGAAGAGGTAAGTGTAGCATTTCTTGTTAATTAAGTTAATATTTTGTCTCATTTGAAAACCAGTTTGAGGTATAAGTTAAAAATTTTTAATAACCATTGGTTATAATCTTTTGATTTAGGTAAAGAAGGAATAAATGGGTAGACTAAAATGTTTCTTAGTGATTTGTATACAATACTCCTGCATGTATGTGGTCTACTCTGAATTTGACCAATTCTTTCTCCTAAAATTGAAAAATGGAAAATTAATTATTATTGTTTCCATAATTTACACAAAATAGTAAATAAGTGGCAAGACAAAACTTATCAACTTAAATATTTCTCCTGTATTTAAAAAGTCATGCATAATATGCTTATTCATAAAATTATATATTTGTTTTCTTTAAATTTAATGTTATTTTAATGAGTTTTTTATACTTTTATTTTCACGTGCTTTGCCACCAGTTTGAGAAATACTGGTCTCTATCCTTATTTTGGAAAAGATTTTATGTATGCTGTTAATACAGCAGAATGATTTCCAGGATAGCCTTAGGGAATTAGAGAATTATTCTAGTTCTACCTTGGCTATGTTTGTGGTTTAGTCCTTAAAGTTCTGGGAGAAGCTGCCTGTGGGGAATGTGCCATGCCAGGGACCTTGCCAGGAAACCATCCATAGGGGTGATGCTGTTGAAATTTGCTGGAGGTGAGTACTACTAGTTACACTGGGTACTGCCCTAGGATTAAGCAGAGAGAGATGACAGAACTTGGAAGAAAAGCTTCTTCCTCCTCTAGTGTCTAGGGCCCTCTGCTGACAAAAGTTAACATCATGCTGCCTGTCAAGATAGAAATGTTCCACTACTATAAACAGGACAGTGAAGAATGGATTTTAGATGAGAGGCAATAAATTGATAATTGTAGCTGATTGCTATGTCACTTTTTAGGTTCAGTTTATGATTGATGTCCTCTTATTAGGGATCTTGCCTTTGTCCATAGAGTATTCATACAACTTCAGCTTCCCTTCCACCTGTTCTGCATCCCACAGTCTCAGACTTCCAGTACATTACCCAGTACTTACTTCCTGCTGTTATATCTTAATCCCATTCAGGTAACCATTACTAAAGTGAAGTCTCTGTTTTAAATTCCCAATGTTAGAATTTCTATTTGCTATGTCCTAAGACTATGGCTTGACTACTTTTCTTTTTTCAGCTCTTCCTCCCATCATAAGGATTAGAGTTCTCTTTTAAATATTTTGAATTGCCTTTAACTGATCCTGTTATAATTGTTATTTAACTTGCTTAAAATTCTTATATATTAAAATAATAAACAGAAGATTGAATTTGAGCTCTGACATGTAAAAGCCAACACTTAGCTATAATTCTGTTGCTAGGTAATTGCTCATATAATTTCACTAATATTGTGAAATATTAGTATGTGATTATAGCTATAGATAGATAAGAATAATACAATATTTATTTATATATGATAAATGAAATGATGAAATTTCTTTGAGGTATGGGAGAAAAATGAGTATTTCCTAAGTAACTGGCTAATTTTATTATTTTAGATAAGTAAAGATCAAACTTTTTCAGCAGAGTTTCCAGCACCTGATAAAACAGTCAGTGTAAGCATTGCACAAATAGTAAAGCAGGTGCACAAACTTGAAGAACTGAAAAATCGCCTTAAAGAAAGGTCTAAATTCACCTTCAAAGACATGTCATCTAAACCCAAGTAAGTAAAATGTAAGAGTTAAAAGAATTAGTAAGAGTGGGTATATAATTAGTAATGAATGGAAGATAATGGTTCAGATTTTATACTATACATAGAGCTTCTAAATCAAATCAGAAGATCTAGCCAGCTTGTTCCTGTTTGAAATTTTTAATAGTTTGAAATGGGACTAGGCACATGTGGCTATGAAAATTAAAGTTCAGTTAAATTTAATTAAAAAACTAATTCTTTAGTCACACTAGCCACTTTTCAAGTGCCTAGTAGCCACATGTGCCTATTGTTTGAAAGTTCTATTGGACACTGCTGGCTTTGAAATATCTGGCTTATAAACTCTTCTCTCAGTTTGATTAGGTAGCTTCCTTAATATATTTAAGGTGTAGTGAAATAGTTCATTGTTCAAGAACACCGTCATTAAAAATTGCACAGGGACAGGGATATGTTCCAAAGATAAAATTTGTACTTTTTAGTTGAGAAAATCCTTTTTTTGGTAGGTGGGAGGAAGATTCAGATGAATGATTACAAGAATACTTCCATTATCTGTTGACACTCATGTTTGATATTTGAGGTTTATCTGTCTTGAAATTAAATAGATGAATAAATCATCATCATAGAATATCTTCAGTGATTTTTTTGCACCTCCATAGTTATTTTTTCTTGTGGTGAGAACTCTTCAGATCTACCCTTTCAGCAAATTTCAGGTATACAGTACAATGGTATTATGAACAGTAAACACCATGCTAATGTTCTAAACATTAGATCTTTAGAACTTATTCAACTTATAACTGGAAGTTTGTACTTTTTGACCAACATCACCGCATTTCCCCAATCCCCCTCAGCCCCTGGCAACCACCATTTCTGCTTTCTGGTTCTAAGAATATATATATATATATATATATATATATATATATATATATATATATCTCATTTTGTTTATCCATTCATCTATTGATGGTTACTTTCATATCCTGGTTATTGTAAATAATGCTGCAATGAACATATGAACATTGGGGAGAATATACATTTTTGAATTAGTTTTTTTGTTTTCTCTGGAAAAATACCCAGAAGTGGAATTACTAGTTCATATGGCAGTACTATTTTTAATTTTTTGAGGAACCTCCATACTGTTTTCCATAGTGGCTACATCAGTTTGCATTTCTATCAACAGTGCATGAAGGTTCCCTTTTCTGCACATCCTTGCCCACAGTTATTTTTTTGGTCTTTTGGATGATAACCATTCTGACAGTTGGGAGGTGACTTCTCACTGTGGTTTTTGATTTGCATTTCCCTGATGATTAGCAGTGTTGAGCCTCTTTTCATGTGCCTGTTGGACATCTGCATGTCTTCTTTGAAAGAGTATTTATTCAGGTCCTCTGCCCATTTTTAATTGAATTGTTTTTTTGCTATTGTATGAGTTCTTTGTATATTTTGAATTTTAGCCTCTTACTAGATATATCATTTGTGAATGTCTTATCCCATTCATTAGGTTGCCTTTTTGTTTTGTTTTGCAAAGCTTTTTTTTTTTTTAGTTTGATATAATTCCACACGTTTATTTTTGCTTTTGTTGCCTTTGTCTGGGGACAGAGATCCAAAAAAATATTACTAAGACCCCTGTCAAAGAGTTTACTGCCTGTGTTTCTTCTAGCATTTTTATGGTTTCAGGGTTTATATTTAAGTCTTTAATCCATTTTGAGTTTATTTTTGTATGTGGTGTAAGAAAGAGGTCTAGTTTCATTCTTTTTCATGTAGCTGTCCAGTTTTTCCAACACCATTTATTGAAGAGACTATCTCTTCCCTATTGTATATTCTTGCATCCTTTGTTGTAGAAAATTGACCATATAAGCATGGGTTCATTTCTGGGCTTTCTATTCTGTTCCATTGATCTATGTGTCTCTTTTTGTGCCAGTACCATACTGTTTTGATTACTATAGCTTTGTAGCATAGTTTGAAATCACTGAGCGTGATACTGCTAGCTTTCTCAAGATTGCTTTGGCTCTTTGGGTTTTTTGTGTTTCCATACAAACTTTAGAATTATTTGTTCTGTGAAAAATGCCATTGGTACCTTGATAAGAATTGCAGTGAATCCATAGATTGCTTTAGATTATTATGGGCACATTAGCAACATTAATTCTTCCAATCTATGAGAATGGTATATCTTTCCATTTATTTGTGTCATCTTAAATTTCTTTCATCACTCTCTTAGTTTTCATAGTACAGGTCTTTCACCTCCTTAGTTAAATTTGTTCCTAGGTATTTCATTAGTTTTGATGCAATTGCAAATGGGATTGTTTTCTTAAGTTCTCTTTCTGATAGAGCTTTATTAGTGCATAGAAATGCAACAGATATCTGTATATTAATTTTGTATTCTGCAGCTTTACTGAATTTAATTATTAGTCCTAATAGTTTCTTGGTGGAGTCTTTAGAGTTTTCTATGTATAGTATCATATCATCTGCAATCAGTGACAGTTTTAAGTCTTCCTTTGCAGTTTGGATTCCTTTTATTTCTGATTGCTGTCTGATTTGTGTCTGATTCCTGTGGCTAGAATGTCCAATATTATGTTGAATAAAAGAGGCTGGATTAGGCATCCTTGTCTTGTTCCTGATCTCAAACTATTCCAAACTTGAAAAGGTCCTGACAGGAAATAAATGGAAGACTCTTTAGGTCTTCTTAAAAAAAAATGGGTTTTATTCTGATTAGCATTGGGGAAGGTTTTGAGCAGAGCATAACATGATCTGACATATGTTTCAAAAGGACCATTCTGACTGCTGTGTTGAAAATTGACTATACAGGGTCAGGAGTAGAAATGGGGAGTGTAGTTGGGAGACTTTTGCAGTAATCCATGGAAGAGATGATGGTGGTTCAGATCAGGGTAGTGGTTGCGGTGGAGTTGGTGAGTTTTGAGATTCTGGACATACTTTTTTTTTTTTTTTTTTTTTTTTTTGCGGTACGCTGGCCTCTCACTGTTGCGGCCTCTCCCGTTGTGGAGCACAGGCTCCAGACGCACAGGCTCAGCGGCCATGGCCCACGGGCCCAGCTGCTCCGCAGCATGCGGGATCCTCCTGGACCGGGGCACGAACCCGTGTCACCTGCGTCGGCAAGCGGACTCTCAACCACTGTGCCACCAGGGAAGTCCCGAGATTCTGGACATACTTTGAAGGTGGAGTCAGTAAACTCTCCTGATGGATTGGATATTGTGTGTGAGAGGAAAAATAGCCAAGAATGAGTTCAAGACTTTTGACTTGAGCAGCCAGAAGGATGGAATTGATACTACCTTCACTGGGGTAGGCTGTAGGTGAAGCAAGTTTTGAGGAGGCAGATCAGGGGTTCTGGTTTGAAGATACTGGAAATTCTGAGTTGCCAGAAATGTTGTTAGGCATATTTGAGGGAGCCATTACATATATGTTTTGGTGTTCGGGAGAGAGATGTGAGTTGAAAATAGGAATTGGGATGCCGTTTACATATGGATGGAACTTAACGGTAGATATATAGTGAAGGGAGTGAGTGTAAATTGAGAAGAGAGGACCAGGGACTGATCCCTGGTGCCCTTCCAACATTAAGAAGTCTGGGACAAAAGGAGGGGCTAGCAAAGGGGAATGAGGAGTGACCTAGTGAGGCAGAAAGAAAACCAGTAAATGTGCTGTCCTGTAAGATAAATGAAGAAGGAAGACTATGCAAAGGGACTGTCAATGATGTCAGATGCTGTGGGTCAGTCAAGAAGATTAGGACTAAGAACTGACCAGTGGATTTAGAAAGGATGTCATTTGTTGACCTTGAGAAGAGCAGTTGTTCTGAGAAATCTCTGGACAGGGGGCAGTTGGGGACAGTAACCATAGACAATGCTTTGGAGTGGTTTTGTTGCAAAAGGGGGAAAAGAATAGCATAGTAGCTGGAGGGAAGTGGGGACAAAATAAGGCTCTTATAAATTAGGAAAAATAACAGAATGTTTGTATGCTAATAGGAATGACCCATTAGACAGGAAAAGATTTATGATATAAAGAGTCAAAGAGGAATTGCTGGGACAGTATCCTTGAATATGTGAGTGGAGATGAAATAGGGGCTTGAATAATTATGTATGAAACCAGGTAGGAAGGCAGAGTATCAGGGTACAGATGCTGATATAGGGTAGATGTGGTGTAGAAGCCTGTGGAGGTTCTTTTGGTTGGTTTAGTCTTCTAAGGGAAGTAGAAAGAAAGGTTATCAGGTGAAAGTGAGGATAGGATAGGAGTTTTGAGAAGAGAGATGAGGATTTGTAATAGTCACTAAATGGAAGAGTGAATGGACAGGGACATATCTTTTGATTACCTAGTGATATTGAAGGCCTACTTGAAATCATGCATTTGGAGTAAGATGTCTCTTTAATACTGTTGTCTCTGTTCAACCAATTTAGTTACCCAGTTATTTCTAATATCCTGTCTGTTGTAATGAATCATTCATAAAATCACCCTTAGCCAGCCATATAGAGTGCAAGAAACTATTTTACTATGGTATCAGATATTTTAGGAAAATGTATAATTCTATTTTACTTAGTTTAACAGGAATCTTCAGTATAGCTTTATTTCCTTGGTTTGCTGTAATTTTTATCCATTGCTTTCTTGGTCTATTCCCTTCTTTATTTGACAGTTCTACTCTGCTTTTATTTCCAGTCCTTTTTTTTTTTTTTTTTTTTGCGGTACGCGGGCCTCTCACTGTTGTGGTCTCTCCTGTTGCGGAACACAGGCTTCGGACGCACAGGCTCAGCAGCCATGGCTCACGGGCCCAGCCGCTCCGCGGCATGTGGGATCTTCCTGGACCGGGGCACAAACCCGTGTCCCCTGCATCGGCAGGCGGACTCTCAACCACTGCACCACCAGGGAAGCCCTCCAGTCCTTTTTAAAGTTTCCTTTTTAAAGTTTTTTTTATACTAGAAAAGAAATGGTGTGCATGTGTGCGTGTATGTAATTTATATTCTTCAGGCATATACTGTCTTGTTCTTGGTGGTAATACTAAAAATATGAAGAACCAGGTTAATATGGGCACCAACTCATTAGAATAAATATTAGCAGTGAAGCAGGGTTCTGTATACCATTTGTTTTGCTAAAGATTACTCCTTTAGGTGCTGGATCCTAGGAAGGTCAAGGGGTGAGGGCAGTTGGCAGACACTTGATTGGCTATTTACCCATTTACCATGGGGCAGAGCTATTTACCGATTGGATCAGGAGAATTTCAGTGTTACTGTCATACCAGTATATGAATATCTGTATGAGTATCAGACCTTTTCTCCCTTAGCAAGAAGTCAGCCTGAACATAATTCATATTTTGAGATGTCTCACTTAGTAGATCTGAGTTATAATCTTTATAAACTTCATAATCTGCCCAATTCTTTCCAATTCATTCCGCTAAACTTCTTCGGTACTTTCTATCCCCTTTCATTGTTGTATCTTAAAAACTATTTTTTAAACGTGCTTTTGTTTACATTATTGGCAAGCAGTCAGGCAGCCCCAAAGTGGCAGCACAGTGGCAGCTATGAGATTGGCTTGTCATACTTCCAAATATTAGGCTGGTACGGAGACAGTGGGCACAAATGGTGTTGAATTACTTATACAGACAGCAAGAACAAGGTCAGCGTGGTGTCAGCTCCCTGTGTTCCTAGTTCCACAGGACGACACAGAGCAGCAGGGACCAGATGACAGGCCACACAAGCGATTTGTTGCTCTGCCATGAAGGAGCAAAATGTAAACTACATCCATGCAGCTTTATAGGTTTTTTTAAAATTATTTTTTATTGGAGTAGAGTTGATTTACAATGTTGTGTTAGTTTCTGCTGTATGCAGCTTTATAGTCTTAACAGAGGGCTTCAACTGGGCTGTAAAGAAGAGAGGGGTAGAAAGCTCTGTGCTCAACTGAAATTAGGGAGACAGATGAGAAGTGAGCTTGTGTTAGTCTTCCACAAGACAGGAATGGAAAACTGCCTCATGGAGACTCTTCACCAGGCTTATCTTCTCTTTCTGCAGCAGAAATTTCAGGGCATTCTACTATGATTTGGGTCTGACTGCTGTCAAGCCTTTGTGGATCTGTGTAATGTTGATAGAGTGCCATGGTAGAGCTCTTCCCTTATAGCATTGATTCTCAAATGGGGGATACTTTGTGCCCCAGAGGACACTTGTATGTAGACATTTTGGTTGTCACAACTAGGAGTGGGAGAATGCTACTGGCACTAGGTAGAGGTCAGAGATGCTGCATTGTAAAATGCACAGGACAGTCTCCCGCAACAAAGAATTATCCAGTCTAAAATGTTGGTAGTGCCGGGGTTGAGAAACCCGTCCTACAGTGATCTCTTCCTTTGTTACTTCTTTCTTGTCCCCTATTGTTTGGCATCAAATAATATACCTAATAATTTTATTATGAATTAATAATTAGTTACCAGTTTAACTTAATAAGCTATTAATTTAATCATTCACATGTAAGTTTTCCTGTCAGGACTGTCACTTCCTCAAGATCAGAACCAGTCACGCACATCTACATATTTCCTATCACATGTAATAAACAGTAAATAAATATGAGTAATTTTTATGAATACCTGAATTAAATCAACTCCAAGTCATTTGTTCCCCTATCCCTAACCATATCTAGTATAATAACTTATCCAAGTAAAACTTTACATTTATAAACAACCTTTTTTTTTGCATTAAACATACACAAAACCCTTTTATTTTACAGTGTTAAAATAGAAAGTACCCATAATTAGGATGGGCTACTATTTATTATGCAGTTACTTTATTGATCTCTCCATCTGTCAATGACTAGACTTAAAGGAGTGAAGGCAGTGATACTTGAGTTGGCTTCAGTGGGAGCTGCATAATAGAGCCTTGGTTCAGAGGTTCAGATATATTAACCTGAGCTATCTATTGTGAGGCGTGAAATTAATTTCAGGCCATATATTAATATTAATACCTGAAATTTACATGTCTGATATGTGCTAGGTATTTTCCTAGTAACTTTACGTGTGTCCTTTGGTCCTTACGACTATAATACTTTATGAAATAAGTACTCTAATACCCCAATTTTGATAGATGAAGAAACTGAGGCTCAGGTTAAGTGACTTACGCAAGGCCACATATTTAGTAAGTGGGTAATTTACAGCAGGTTTTGAGCCAAGCAATTTGGCTCTAGAACTTGTGCTCTTAACAATTGATTACACCATTAATAATATATTGGTAAAAAGAAATCTTATGGTTCTACCAAATACAGTTTTATTATTTTTGTTTATGTTGTTGTTGGTATACCTAATTATGTTCATGGAATACACGGAATTCATAGAATTACATAGTTTGACTTTTTTACTTGTTTTCTTGCTACTAGATAATTTACCTTAATGTCTGTGAATAAAGGTTAAAGAACATGTTAAATTTTATTTTACAAACTGCATATGTCTAGAGCATATATTCTAGTTCTTAAGTGTAATTTAAATGCTTAATCTTTGATAATAAATAAGTATGTTTTATTTATTGAAATCTTAACAGGGACAGTGAAATTCCACCAGAAGAAGTGCAAACTTATGAAACTGTACAGCAGAAAATTGAAGGTGATAATATTTTATACAAGTCCAGCCTTTATAGGGTTTCCTAAATGCACCAACATTTTGAGACTTAAAGTTTAAAAATTTATAGCCATAAAAATTATACAATGATAAATTCAAAGATATTCAATAGCAGTTGATATTTTCAATAAAAGTTCTTATTATGTTCCAGATTCTGGGAGTGTATAAAATGAATAACACTTGGTTGTTACCCTCAAAATCCACAACATAGTAAGGATACAAGCACATTATATATCATTTTAATATAGTGTAATGCATGATAAAGGTATGTGTAATTTGCAGTGAGTCCATAGAAAGCCAGCTTGTTCAACCTGAGGGAGTTATTTAGGTTTTATGCAACCTTGAAGGATGAATAGGACTTTGTCAAGTGAAGATGGGAGATATTTGGTACTTTAAGAAGAGGGTATAGCATGAGAAACAGCATAAATAGGGAAATACCACTGGAATGGTTATAAAGTGTGAAGTAATAGGTAGGGGTAAGATAAGAAAGAGCCTAGGCAGAGGGATTAAATGCTTTAGGAATACTTTCTTTTTTCCCCCATATATAATAGGGAATCATTGAAGATTTTTTCTAGGGAAGTGACATGTTGAATTTTACTTTAGAGAGATTATTCTGGCCACATTGAGAAGCTAGATTTGGGGATTGAGAGTAGGAGATGGAAGTTACTGCTGTACCTTAAATGTGTGATAGGTGCCTATATTAGAGCACAAATAAAGAGAGGAAAAGGGGAAGATTTGAGAAATATTTACTGGATAAAATTGGCAAAACATGGTGATTGGATATGAAAGGAAGGGAGATTAGATGATGGTAACATTAACTAGGAGAATATAAGAGGAAAAACAAGTTTTGTTGAGAAGATGATGAGTTCATATCACTCAGTTGTTACACACATTTTTTTAGATGTTACACTTTGTTGCCTGATTGGGAAGGTCTACAGTTGTAGACAGCTCAGTTGTTTTTCTTAAAATTTTTGTTCTCTTGAATGAGTTATTAAAATAAAAACTATAAAATTTAAACTCAGTTAATAAATATAATTCATATTGAAACTCATGACAAATTCACTGTTATTTCAGAATTCATAAAAACACACTCAACTGAAGAAATTACAGGTGTTTCTGCGACTGAGCCACGTAAGTTTCCACTCATTAAGCATCTTTGTATTAATAACTTCTGTTGAGTGTATTAATTTCTATAATTTTCTATAATTTAAAGTAATAATTATGAAGTTACAACATAAATTCCCTGGAGTTTGGAGCCATACAGTTGAGCTGGCGATCAAGCAAATACTGAAATTCCTAGTTAGCTACTTGCTACCAAAAACAGACTCATTTTTAAAGAGTAACATGTTATTACTAGGAATGGACGATTTTTTATTGTGATGAGAATATGCTACAAAAATGTTTCAGAGGTGGTAGGCCTTTGAGGTGGAGCAGTGATAAATTTAAGAGGTCATTTGCACGTCTTGTTACTATGAATTATAGATTATCTCATATATACTGGTGGTTTGACTGCAGCTGAGTACCTATCAGTTCGTGAATATAAAGAGCTGCTAGAACTCAAACTTCTAGAATTCAAACTTCTGACTACTTGTCAACAGAAAGGAGAAACTGCCTTGCTTATGTCTTGATACTGGAGAGAATTTTGAAACAATCATATAATGTATGCTGTGGAATATATTTTTAGAAGTAGAAAATAAGATTTGGTTGAAAAAAGTTGATGGAAATCCTTCCCTCTTTCAAATTCAGCTTTAAACCCTAACGTTGCCATGTTTAAATGAAGGGTAGCTATACATTCTACATTACTCCCAAGACCTATAGAGGCTTCTGATCTGAGGCAGCCCTGCCTGACTAGGTGGGGTAGAAAGGTGCCTAGAGCTTTGGAGTAGATAGTAAAAGCCTCTGTGCATCAAGGGGAACCCTCTGCACATCTGTGCAGCTCTCTCTCCCTCAATCTGTGCAGCTGTCTTCCGTCTAATACTGTGCCCTGTGAATTCTAGCTGCTTTGGCCTCCCCAGGCTCTAAACTTTGTCTCTGAACTCATGGAAACCAGTAAACTTTGTCTGGGTTTCCCTTCCTTATGCTGTGGCCTGGAAACTCCAGGCAGTAAGCTGGGGTCATCATAGAGCCATCCTTTGTTTTCCTTCTGTGAGGAATTACTGCAGTGCACCTTCTGTTTTCCAGTGTCTGAATATTGCTGTTTTATATATTTTGTCCAGTTTTTAATTGGTTTAAAGTGAAAAGGTAACTCTGGTTCCTGATGAGCCATCATGGACAAAAACAGAAGTCTCTGTGCCCACTTATAGGCCAGTGGAACACATTGTCCAATCACAAAACCAAGTTCTAAAATAATAAAGTATAATAGTAGAAATTTTACTCGTATTTTTTAAGGGAAGCAGAGGACAGGGTTACATTGTACAATGTGGAGAAAACCCTTTTGCAAATTCCTCAGTTTCTTTTCCCATGGCAGCTCAGTCCCTGGGCTCCACTGGTATATGTCTACTCTTTCTCAGTACTGCCTGTTCACTTGTATACTCTTTTTCTCTTAAAAGTACCCTTTTTCATCTTCTCCAGTGAAATTTTATTCTGTTCTTCCCTTCTCATTCCCTAAATTCTATTAGATTCCATAGCCTAATCAATAAGACAAAAGCTACCTTTGAATTTCATTCTGCTTTTTGTACTATCATTTAATCTTGATGTTGCTTCATTTCATAATTAATGAACTCTTGTTTTAGAGAAGTTTTAGGTTTATAGAAAAATTGAGCAGAACGTACAGAGTTTCCATATACCCATTTTCCACCCCACTCCTCGCACAAAATTTCCTCTGTTATTAAATTTTGCATTAGCGTGGTACATTGGTTAAAACTGATAAACCAGTATTTATACATTATTATTAACTGAAGTCCATAGTTTACATTGGGTTCAATCTTTGTGTCCTACAGTTCTATGGATTGTGACAAATGCATAATGTCATGTATTCACCATTACAGTATCATACAGAATAGTTTCACTGCCCTGAAAATCCCATGTTCTCCCTATTCATCTCTCCCTCCATCCACTGAATCCCTGGTAACCACTAATCTTTTTGTTGTCTCTAGAATATTGCCTTTTCGAGAATATCATATATTTGAAATTATGCAGTCTTTTACTTAGCAATACGCATTTAAGGTTTCTCCATGTCTTTTTATGCTTTTATAGCTCATTTATTTTTATTGTTGAATAGTAATCTGTTGTATGGATGTACCATAGTTTATCTATTCATCTGTTGAAAGACATCTATGTTGCTTCGAAGTTTTTTCAATTATGAATAAAGCTACTATAAACAAAGGTGTTTCTACAGACAGAAGTTTTTCAGTTCATTTGGGTAGATACTAAGGAGTACAATTGCTAGATCATATAGTAAAAGTATGTTTACTTTTGTAAGAAATTGCCAAGCTCTCCTTCACAGGGACTGTATCATTTTGCATTTTTACTAGAAATGAGCATGAGAATTTCTGGTGCTCTACAGCTTTGTCAGCATTTGATGTCAGAATTTTGGATTTAAGACATTCTAAAAGGTGCATAGTGTTATATCATTTTTTAAATTAAATTAAATTTTATCTCATTGTTTTAATTTGTGATTCCCTAATGATATATAATGTTGAGCATCCTCTCATATGTTTATTTGCCATCTGTATATCTTTGGTGAGGTATTTGTTCAGATCTTTTACCTATTTTTAAATGAGGGGATCATTTGCTTCCTAATTGTTGAGTTTTAAAAGTTTTTTGTATATCTTTGACACAAGTTCTTCATCAGATATGTGTTTTGCAAAGATGTTTTTCTCAGTCTGTGGTTTATATTTTCATTCTCTTAACAGTGTCTTTTGTAGAGCAGAAGTTTTGAATTTTAATGAAGTTGAACTTTTCTTTCGTGGATTGTGCTTTTATTGTTGTGCCTAAAAGTCATCTTCAAACCCAATATAACCTGGACTTTTTCCTATGTTATTTTCTAGAAATTTCATAGTTTTGCCTCTTATATTTAAATCTATGATCCATTTTGAATTGAGTCTGTGTCTAAATTAATTTTTCTTGCGTGTGAATGTACAGTTTTTCTAGCACTATTTGTTAAAAAGACTAACCTTTCTCCATTGAATTGCCTTTGTTTCTTTGCCAAAAATCAGTTGATTGTATTTGTGTGGGCCTATTTCTGGGATCTCTGTTATGTTCCATTGATCTGTTTTTCTGTTCATTGCCAATACCATACTGTCTTGATTACTGTAACTTTTTTTTTTTTTTTAAAGCTGTGGTTTACTTTTGAAGATGTTGGGGGTAGGAGTTTATTAATTAATTAATTAATTTTTGCTCTGTTGGGTCTTTGTTTCTGTGCGAGAGTTTTCTCTAGTTGTGGCAAGCGGGGGCCACTCTTCATCGCAGTGCATGGGCCTCTCACTATCGCGGCCTCTCTTGTTGCGGAGCACAGGCTCCAGACGCACAGGCTCAGTAGTTGTGGCTCACGGGCCTAGTTGCTCCGCGGCATGTGGGATCCTCCCAGACCAGGGCTCGAATCCGTGTCCCCTGCATTAGCAGGCAGATTCTCAACCACTGTGCCACCAGGGAAGCCCCTGATTACTGTAACTTTATAGTAAGTTTTTGAAGTTGGATAGTGTCACTCCTCCAACTTTGTTCTTCAGTATTGTATTCTATTCTTTGGATCTGTTGCCTTTTCACTTAAAGTTTAGAATCAGTTTGTTGATACACTCAAAATCACTTGCTGGGTTTTTGTTGTTGTTGTTGTTTTTGTTTTTCCATGCTGTGTGGCATAGGGGATCTTAGTTCCCCAACCAGGGATTGAACCTGCACCCCCTGCAGTGGAAGCCTGGAGTCTTAACCACTGGTCCGTCAGGCAAGTCCACTCCCTTTTTTTTTTTTTTTTTTTGCTTGCTGGGTTTTTGATTGGGATTGCATTGAATCTACAGATCAAATTGATGAGAACTGATGTCTTAACAGTAATGAGTCTTCCTATCCATGGACTTGGAATATCTCTCCATTTATGTGTATCTTCTTTGATTTCTTTCATGAGATAGTTTTTTTTCTTAATATAAATCCTGTACATATTTATTTAGATTAATACCTAAGTATTGAGTTTTTTGGTACTAATGTAAATGGTGTGTTTATAATTTCAAATTCTACTTGTTTATTGTTGGTATATAAGAAAGGAATTGCAATTTACTTCTGTATATTACTCTTGTATGCTGTAATCTTTCTGTAATCACTTACTCATTGCAGGAGATTTTTGGTGATTCTTTGGGAATCACCTTTTTTATTCAGGCAGTCATGCCATCTGTGAAAAAAGACAACTTTACTTCTTCCTTCTCAAACTTTATACTTTTTCTTTTCTTTTCTTGTATTATTGCATTAGCTAGGACTTCTAGCATGATGTTGAGTAGGAGTGGTGAGAAGGAACATCCTTGTCTTATTCCTGATCTAGGGGGAAAGCATTTAGTACCTTAACATTAAGTATGGTGTTAGCTGTAGGTCACAGACTTAGAAAACAAACTTATGGTTACCAAAGGGAAAAGGTGGGGGGAGGGATAAATTAGGAGGTTGGGATTAATATATATACACTACTATATATAATATAATCAACAAGGACCTAGTGTATAGCACAGTGAACTCTACTCAATACTCTGTAATAACCTTTATGGAAAAAAATCTGAAAAATAATAGGTATATGTATAACTAAATCACTTTGCTGTATACCTGAAACTAACGCAACATTGTAAATCAACTATACTCCAATATAAAATAAAAATGTTAAAAAAGTATCGTGTTAGCTGTAGGTATTTTGTTTGATTTTCTTTATCAAGTTGAGGATGTTTTATTCTGTTTCTAGTTTGCAAAGAGTTTTATGAATGGGTATTAGATTTTGTCATATGCTTTTTCTGTATCTTTTGAAATGATCATATGGACTATTGATATGATAGGTATATTAGCTGATTTTCAAATATTGACCTAGCCTTGTATAGTTGGATTAAATTTCACTTGGTTGTGGTGTATAATTTGTCCCATACCTTGTCAGATTAAATTTGCTAATATTTTGTTGGGGTTTTTGCATCTGTGTTCATGAGAGATATTGGTGCGTGGTTATCCTTGTT